CACCAAAGGGGGGAGAAGTGGGCGAGGGCGGGGGCTGCAGCAGCAGCAGCTGCAGCTGCTGCTGCTGCTGCAGCAGCAGGGCTCACCTCTGACATTCTTGTGAAGTGTCTTTGGCTGCTTTGGAGCAGTGCGAATTCCCTCAAGCGCAGTGCACGGAAGGCCTCAGGGCTGCTGCTGCTGCTGCTGCTGCTGCTGCTGCTGCGGTTGCTGCTGTCGCCGCTGCTCGCGTCTTTATTTTAGTGGAATTTCGAAACAGATGGAGAAAGATATAAAAAAAAGATAAAAAGGAAGAGCCTTCGAGCAGTTTCACCGGGCTGTAAACACTTCACACCACAGCCGCCGCATGCAGTTGCAGGATCAGCCGCTGGCGAGCGACGGTGGGGGTTTGCGTGCAAGAGGACTTCACCACAAGTTTATTCCGCGTTTTATTTTTCCTTTTCTAATTATTTCAAAATTCAAATTCCAGAAAGATTGCTGAAAAAATAACGAGCCAAAGGAGCAGCGAGACGGCGGAGTTCAGCGCAGTGTGCACAGACACTACAGCGCCGCTGTGGTGTATGAACAGCTCGTGAATCAGTTCGGACCAAAAAATAATTCAAGTTTCTATTCCCTCATTAGTTTTTTGTTTAGAGTTTATTTATTCAATAAGTTAAAATGCCTCCACTAACACGCCTCTGCATGCGGAGCAGCAACTGAAGTGCAAGGGACGGCAACGCCAGCTGCCAACTGAAAATAAATTAATGATTTATATTTATATATATGTATGTAATCGATTCTTGCAAAGTGAAAAAAAAAACGAGAAAGAGCAGCAGAAGACCAACATTGCCAATACCTTTATATAATATATATTTAGACATGTATATGGCTGCATATATATACATAGTGTATCTGTGTACATGTGTATATGCATGTAAGCGTATGTACACATATATATTTATATATAATTGAATATATATAAATATGTTTATAGGTAGCATTAGTACAAAATTAAAAACATCTCTGCACATGCGTAATACTGCATGTGTTGTGTATGCAGTGCAGCAGCAGCTTATGCTATGGAGACCAGCAAAACTAGGGTTTAGGGTTTGGGGTTTAGGGTTTAGCATGAGAGAAGCTCTTGAAACTTCATAGGGCCTGAAACCACTGCCAGCAATGGGTGCAGCACGAAGTGGCAGCTGCAGCAGCAGCAACAGCAGCAAGAGTTATTCACCTGTCAGCGGCACCAGGTGATGCAGCAGCAGCAGCAACACAGAAAGCAACTGCAGCAGTAGCAGCAGTGGGGCCAGAAGAAGCAGTAGCAGCAGTGGGGCCAGAAGAAGCAGCAGCAGCAATGGGGCCAGAAGAAGCAACTGCAGCAGAAGCAGCAGTGTCAGCCGGAAACAGCAACAGCAGCAGCAGCAGCAGCGGCAGCACTGGGGAGCTGCTTTTACTTTTCTATTGGGCTAGCTGCCCGTTTGTGCTGCCAATGCAAATGCTCCTAAGTCCTAAAATCTAAACCCTAATTCTTGAATCCTAAACCCTAAATCCTAAAATTTCGATTTCTGCAGTTCCTTGAAGAAGGCAAAATGTTGGCGTCTGAAGCAAGAGGGTTTAGTGCCTAAATTTAGGGTTTAGGATTTTGTTTTAAAGGTAGTTGGTTTTGATTTTAAACAGACATAAAGAGCAATCTGCGGCAGCAGTGACCAGCAGCTCATCTCCCGCAGCAGCAGCAGCCGTTACTGCGATCTCCCCAGCGCTGCAGCACAGTAGCAGCAGCAGCAGCAGCAACAGCAGCAGTGGTGTTGGTGTCAGCTGCAGCAGCAGTTTCACAACAAGTAAACGTAAAGAAGTAGCAGCAAATGAAAACGCGAGCGGCAAAACTTACCGCAGCCCCTGAGGCATTTCGGGATGGAGGCATACAGCCAACGAAGGAAAGCTGCTACTCTCGCTGCTGCTGCTGCTGCTGCTGCAGTTGCTGCAGTATGAGCTGCAGTTGCTGCAGCACCAAAAACGAACCACGCCTCGCCTGATCAAGACATACAGAGACGCACGACAACGGTAACAGCAGCGACGCATGAATCTGCGGCAGCAGCAGCAACAGCAGCTAGACGCATGAATCTGCGACAACAGCAGCAACAGCAGCTAGACGCATGAATCTGCAGCAGCAGCAGCAGCAGCTAAACGCATGAATGTACTGCTGCTGCCGCAGCAATGGGAGCACTGACACACACGCATCTGCTGTAGTAGCCGGAGAAGCAGCAGCACATGAATCCGCAGCAGCAGCAGCAGCAGCAGCAAAGGGCTACGCAGCCGCTAGAACAGCAGCGCAGCAAAACGGAAAAGACATGAATTTCTATTCAAAATTTAATTGCAGCAGCAAAAGACAAGTGACTTACTGGTCCCCAGACACAAAGCAGCCCCGGGGGCCCCAAGCAGCAAGTGCTGTTAAGGGGGCCCCTGCCCCTTCTGTACCCTTTGGGCCTTGTGGTGCGGCAGCAGCAACAGCATCCTCAGCAGCAGCTGTGCTGCTGCTGCTGCTGCTTCTGCAGTCAGCAGCAGCAGCTTGGGGGGCCCCCCATCCCAGCTCTTGCTGCAAGTCCCACACAACGGGGGCCCCCTCTCCTTCGCTGCAGAGCCCCGCCAAGAAGCTGCCGCTGCCTACAAGGGTTTTTCCCTGGGGGCCCCCCGAGGCCCGGGGGTCCCCAGGGGGGTCCCCGGGGGGCTCCCCAGGCGCTTGGGGGCCCCCCACGAGGGGGCCCCCTTCAAAGCCTGGGGGGTCTTTGGTGTGCATGCGCATGCAGGCGCGAGGCAGGGCTGCTAAAGAAGAACAAGGGGGGCCCCTGAGGGGCCCCCAAGTGCTGTAGTTGTGCATGCAGGGGGGCCCCTGGGGCCCCGCCAGGGCCACAGTGGGGAGGGGCGGGGGCCCCTCATAGGGCTGCGGTACAGTGCAGATAGCTGTGGCTGGACCTGGGGAGATAAAATGAAATACTTTGGGATTCATTTGATTAGCATCTGATTAAATGGTGAAGAGGGAGAAGCAAAAGTACTAGATGAAGCAGCAGCAGCAGCAGCAGCGCGGTGAGAGCAGCAGCAGGCAGAACAGCTGCAGCTCACGCAGCGAGAGCAGCAGCAGCAGATGGAACGGCAATGGGTGTAGCTGGAGCAGCAGAAGCCGCTAGAACAGCAGCAGGAACTAGAGCTATAATTATAGCAGATATGAAAGCTGCAGCAAAGGCAGCAGCAAGAGCAGCAGCAGCAGCAGCAACAGCAGCAGCAACAGCAGCAGCAGCTCACCCGCCTGCACCTCTGCAGCAAACAGGACTTTCTTGTTTTGTCTCAGATCTAATAAGCGAAGAATTCCATCTCCAGAAGACACAGAAACATGGGGGCCCCCCGGATCTGCTGCAAGGCAATGGGGGGCCCCTCCCTTGAGGCCCTTAGCGTAAATTTGCTGCGGCCGTTTTGCTGCAGCAAAACCAAAAACCCTGCATTCCAAGCACTCACTCGGGCCGCGATGCAGCAGCAGCAGCTGCTGCTGCT